AAATCCCCTGGGCTGCTGCTGATGTTGAAATGAAATGCTCCTTTTCTCCCAGGGTATAACTGTCGCTCCTGCTGTGGATATTCACTTTTTTTTGGGTCTGTTTCCAGGACAAGGCTCTGCTTTTTCAGTGTGCTCCAGCAGTTCTCAAATACTGACAACCTCCTTGGCAAAGAGGGGCACTTTCAGACCCCAATGCCAACCTCTCCTGCTTCAGCAAATACATCTGTTAAGAAAAGAAATGCTATCAGCAGGGCAACAGGTGGCATATTGCAGCCAATCATGAAAGGTTATAATAAGACAGAGGGAGCGTGTGTGAGAGAGAGAGGAGAAAAAATGAAAAAGAGGGGGATTGAGCTGAAGAAAAATCCAGTGGCAAGCATTTTTTCCACTACTGCACTTACACGGTGCTGAAATAAAGGCCTGGTGACTTTGCAGCGCTGGAGTACGGTACTGCCCTGGAAATGGATTTGCCCATTGTACTCCTCTCTGTTTGCTTAGAAGGAATTCAGAAGGGATTTGCTTTCTCTTGTTTCACGAGCCCCACACTTTCACACTGACCGAAGTGGATACGCACCAGCTGGCCACGTCCATCACTGCCATCGGGTGGGAGAATTCCTGATTATACTTAGATCCCGCAGACCCTGCTCCGTCATTAGCGGAGAAGCTCTGCTCGCGCACCACCGTCCGAAATGCAGCCGGCTGGGAGCTCAACACATCTCGCCTGAAGGAGCTGGATGCCTTCTGGATCAAACATGAATGACCTGCTGAAGGTGCCCCTGGTGCACATCCTCTCCCTGGCAGCCCTCAGCTTGGCCGAGACGTTCCCGAAAGGTTTGCTTGAAGGGGCATTTGCCCTGCTCTGCTTCTTCCACTTGCTGAAGGAGGTTTTGCAAAGGGGAAGGCATCTCTGGTAATGGTGGGGTGGGTGGTGCGATAGCGTTCCTGAAAAGGACAGAAATGTGCTGCTTTTGGTGGTCACTTCACTGCTTTTAGAAGGATAGCAGTGAAAATAATCTCATATTTGTGTCTGGGATTGAAGGTTCTTTGTCTAGGACGAGTATGTAGTCCCATTGTAATGAACAGGGGAGACCTTTGGGTTCAGCCTGGGTGGGATGGACATTTCTCATGTCAAAGGAAGCTTACAGGTTTTAATGGCTGGTAGCACCCGTTGCTGCAGAGCCCAAGATTTGTGATGTTCTGCATGCCTGTGTATGCTTATAAATATATAAAGCTCAAAGAAGAAGTAAATAGCTATAATGCCTTTACAGAGTGTATGTATATAAATACAAATATGCATGGTTTGTATTGCATGTAACATAAAAGTTAATATACCTTCTCCCTTTCTTGTGTGCACACATGCACACGGACACACGCACACATACTTTTAGCCAACAGAAGAACTGAAAAAAATCTGATTTAGAAAAGTCTTCGAGGTACACAGTGCAACAGTGGTCTTCTGGACGTACTGTCTAGTAACCCTGTGGACAAAAAGTTTTGCTGCACAGTGATTGTCAGGAGCCATTCAAAGCATACCAGAAACTTTGCAGCTTCAGAAAAACAAAAAACCTCAAGGAGGATGCCAGCATTCACCTGTTAGGCCAACATCACTGCTCTTGCATGACTGTGCTCTTACAATTGTTAGTCAGGTTGGTCTCAAAATGGAAAAAAAAATGGTCTCTTCGTCATAAAAAAACTTTTGAAATAAAAATGTTAATTTTTTCCTAAGACACTAAAGCAATTTGGTGAACCCCAGTCTTTTTGAAAGCTGTGGTAAGACGGGATTGGAGAGACAAGAAAAACAAAGAGGAAGGGGATTGATTTTTTCTGGTGGCACAGTGCAATGAAGAGATACACATCCTTTCCTAAAACACCACAGGTGCCTGAATTGCCTTGTTCCCCGAGAGAGGCTGAAACGCGGCTACAGCCCAGTGGTGCCCTATAGAGGTTTTGCAGCATTAGCTGGAAACACAACTGAGCAGTTTTTGACCAGAGGAACTGCAGTATCTCCAGGCATCTGCAATGTTGCAGGGGAGACTGGCTCTGTTTTCCGCTTTGTTTTGTTTGCCTGGCTTGTTTTGTTTTGAAAGTGTGAATCCAAAACCAAAGCCAAGCAATTTGGGAGCTTCTGTGGGCTGGGGATAGAAAAGGATTTGGCTTTCTCATGGGCCCCGTGACTGGCCTTGGGTCATTTTGCTATCTCGGGAAACTACAGCTGACATCCAGAAAAATGGCACCTGTGTGGCTTTACAGATATATAAGTTAATTGATTTTCAATGTTATTTAAAGCCACAGGGCTACCTAAAAAATGTCAGACAGCCCCAGTGGATGCACACGGAAAGGTCTGGGACCATTTCTATATGCTGATAGGCATGTCCGCATGTTGCTTGGATTTTATTTTCTCATGTTGAAATCTGGTAATGAAGGCATCATAAGTTTTGATTGCTTTCCTGAGAAAACATGGACTGACACCAACACCTGAGCTTTTTGGACGGCTTTTAGAAGCAGGCACCATCTCAGCCATTTTGGGTCTCTCTCACTGCCTCGCGACAAAATGGCGGCGTGCTCCACAGCTCGCTGTCCCCTGCAGACACACCGCATGTCCTCTGGCCTCATGCCCTCTGCCCCCTCACCCCGCTACAGGAGCACTGCCTTCACCTCCTTGCTGGCCCAGCACTCGGTTTTAATATCGGAAAGGTAAAAAAGAGCGTATAAGAAAATGACACATTGCTGTTGTTGTCATGGTTGCTCTTCAAGTACGTAGAATTTGGGGAGGCAGCTGTAAAATAAAAGTTCCCTTTCTGCTTTTACCATAGGTAAAGTGCTGTCAGTTTGGACAGTATTTTCTATGAGTGTGGGGCTTGATTCTGCCCTAAATCTGCGTGCTGGCTTTCAGGAGATGCCACATCAGGCCTCATGTAGGCAATATTGCTAAGGATAATTCTGTCATACGTTGAATTAGAGAGATACCATGAAACTACTTAACTGTTGCTAGTGAATTTATTTAATACATAAAACTGACAGCCCTTATTTGCCCAGAGAATAAAATACTGTCGTTATGCACACTGGTTCTTGGTACAAATCTAACTTCATTCTTTGTGAGAATGGCCATGCTTATCATGACAACACAGTTATAAAACTTGTTGCTTGAATTTTGGTTACTGTAAAAATTTACATTTCTCAGGGTTAAAAAAGCATCCTTCCAGAGAACAAGGCGTGTGGACAACAGCAATAAAAACATACTATATAAAATCAGATTGTAAAGCTCCATTTCAGCCAGGCTTAATGCCATCAAAACCCAATAAAGTCTGTCACAAAATAGCAACATCCCCTTTGAAGTAGACAGGATAGCCATTGTTGGAGATTATTCTCCTAAGACAACCTTCAGTAGCAGGGAAATTTAGGCTTTATGAAAATCTTCCATTTGGTTTCACGGGTGTGGGATTCATCTGGGGTGCAATATGGATGATTACTTCTATCTGGTGTGACCCAAAATGACCCAATAAATTGAAGCCTGATACAATTTGAAGCAGTGATCTTAAACAATGAATCTGACACAGACATGTTTTAACTAATGTTTAATTAATGTATTCTTTAGTGCTACCTTAAGTGTAGTTTTAAGATTTTTTTATATAAGTATAGTCATTACCAATTATGCAATCTGAAGTCATATAATCTAGAAATATTATTGAGGCAGATTCGTTCTAATAACATTTCAAAAGTAGTAGGACTTTTACATTAACCTGATAGTGGAAGCTGTTCCTTTCTTCCTCTAGCTTCATTCCAGTTGAACTCCAAAGACATTCTAATTTTTACTCCCATGTAAATTGAAAAAGCATTAAGGTAAAGGCTTTCTATTATTCTCAGTCACCTAAATTGGAGTGCCTTGTATTCTGCCTTTTTTTTATTAGGGAAGGGTAAAATTGATGTAGTTTATTTTTTGCCTGAATTTAAATCTTATTGTACTGAGGAAGGCCAGCAGATACAGTGTGGGCAGGATTGTCCTGTGAAAAGACACACAGTGAGCCAGATACTGCTACAGTCAGCAAGGAACAGGAAGATTCCTGCATCCACTGTACATTTTTAAGGTGGTGTTTCAGGAGCATGGTATGAAATTAGTTCATCTCAGCACAGTTGTCAATGAAATCCAGTCCAACAAATATTGGATGTATGTCCCTCGCAGCCATAGATTAAAAGTCATTCAAGCATCTTTGGAGGCAATGGCTGCAATGCATACCATGCACAGGGAAAGTGATTCGCTAGATGTATCCTTTGATCCCTTCCAGCCGTGCTTCAAGTCTTTTACCAGGGCAACAGAAAATGTTTCTAAAGATACATTCAAATAATGTATGATGACAGGTGTGTGATAATAAGCATCAGACACAGCTATTAGACTTCTAACCCTGGTGATACTTGGTTAGAAAAGTTGAGAAAAAAAGAATGTGTGCTAGTCATGCCACAAATCTGGAAGACCTGAAGGGCCTTTACGAGCCTGGCTTTGAAAAATATAGTGCTATATAACAGTTTTTTTTTTTTTAAAAGAAAAATAGTTGAGTGGAACAAATCCTGTATTAATGACAAAGAAGCCTAAATCTCATGCATTATGCATTAATAAGGAGGCATTGTGCTCACTCCAGGGGCAGGTCAGCTTGGAGTCAATTTGTGTGCTGTTCCTTGCACTTCCAGCCCCTGCAATGCCACCCCCATAGCAGGGGGACAGCCTCACCTGTGTCCTCACAGTATGCCACCCAGTGCCATGCACCTTGGGGGAGAGGAGGGTTAGAAACAAGGGACACACTGGGCTTGTCGGAGCTGCACCACACTTGGGTTGTTCTGTTTTTGCACCTTATAGAAAGAACAGAAGGGAAAATGCAGAACCTGCAGCAAACAACAGAAAGCTGCAGCTACAAATGCGGAGAGACCTGTGTTACAGCGAACGCATGGAGGGTGTGCAAAGCACCTTGGCGCTGGGGAAAAAGCCATGGAGTGACCCTGCAGGGACACGGCTGCCTCTGCCAAAGGGGTCTGTCAGGCTTTGTGCCTCTCTCTGGGAGACACCGGGAGGTTTTCTCATTTTCTCTTCCTTCGCTTAGCTCCCTTGATCAGCACTCCTCTGGAAACTGTGGATGCGCTGGTAGAGGACATCGCCAAGTTTGTCTGTGTAGTGGAGTCATACCCTGAGCCGGAGATTACGTGGACGCGCAACAGCATTCCCATCAGGTAGGGAGCAGCCCCAGCCCTCTCCAGCATCTCCTGCCAAAACTGTCAATGCTTTCCCTCATGATAAAGAAGATATCTGGAAACATCAAAATGGATCTGTGGAAGGGAAGAGGGTGAGTGGCTGTAATTATACAGGGATCTGTGTTCCTTAGGGAGTGATGGAACCCCCCAGGTGCGGGGGTTGCTCTTGCAGATTCACACACTTGAGCTTGCAGACAGTTAGTTTCTGCTGCAAGCAATGCAAGGAGTTTGCTCTCCAGCTTCAGACAATGCAATCTGCTCTGTTCCTCAGTTTATGCATTTACAAAGGAGGAGGATGCTGTATAATATTTAAAAGGAGCATTGCCAGATTTGTTGCCCAAGTGTCTGCAATGTGCTTGGAAACTTTGAATGCAAGGGGTCGTATCATGCCATTCTTGTTTGTTTCTAGTTCTGGATCTGACCATAGGAAACTGGCTTCCCATAGTCGTGCACTGTCAGACATTAACCACCAAGTATCAAGGTGCCGCCAAAGAAGGCAGCCTTGGAAATGTGTTACGGAAGTTGTTACCATTGCTTTAGCTCTGTTGCTGTAGACAGGCTCTTGCAAAGTAAACTGTACCTGATATTCCAACTCTGAAATCACATCACGGCTGCCACATGGCTTCACATCAGTTTCTCATTCTGGATCACTGTTAGTGACTCCCTCTGTAAGGGAAAATTACAGAACAATCTCTGTGTAACACAGTTAAGGCCCGTTCTCCACAAGAGTTGTCCATGTTAGGCAGATGGTCACCTGAAGCACGGTTCCTGCTGTTGGGGTCAAGCATCAAAAGACCCCTTGAACCATTGCCTTGGGAGACTCCAAATAAGTCAGCAGCAGAAGGAGGTCTTACTGCTAGGAAGACCATTTCAGAATAGGAGAAAAGGAGAAATCTACACATATGCATTCTGGCCTTCAGAAATCGTTTTTTCATTGCCTGCAGCAGAACCTCAGCAAAACCCCAGTCCTAACCTCCTGACCCCAGCCTAGTTGCAGAATGGGGGTCTGAATTTCCACAGATGTTATTTCCAAATCAGGTCACCTTTCTCCTAATTCCTTCCCCATCGGTGACACCATGTCTGAAAATCAAAGCTGGGAGAGAAAGCCATTCATGCAGGACCATGGGGATTACATGTCTTTCTCTCCCCACGGTCTTTAAAATTTCACTCTCTCTATGTTCTAAGGTCATATGAAACCCAGATCTTTTCTTACCCCAGTCCCCACTTCCAGAAGCCCAACACATCTTTCTAAAAGCCATCCCACTCTCTCTGAAACACAGTGCCTTTTCCACAACATTGACCAAAAAGGAAAATACTGATCAAAAAAGCTCTGCTGGTGAGGCCAGAGAGCTCAGGTGCTTCGTTCCTTTACTGGGGCTTCTGGAGCAACATTAATAGCAGCAACTATTGCACTTTCCCAAAGCTGTGTTGGCGTTAATAGTCAGTGCTGCTGGATACAAAAGCTCAGACTACAGACAAAGAAATAGATAAACTGAAAATATTTTTGTTACTTTCCAAGAACATGGATGAAAGTATTTGCATAATGGAAAAGGATCAGATCAGTGGACATTTTTTTAGAAAAAAATGTATAAATATATTTATTTGCCTCTGTGTGTGTGTATGTCTCAAACTTCAAAGGGGTTAGTTATTGCAAGCAGTAAACATCAGTTATTTTATCTACAAAATCTTCTTTTGCCAAGGTCCTAGCACCCTGAACAGACATCTAACCTAACCTTCAAAACAAAACAGTGTGTAAACATTCAGCTTCAATGAGAATAGTGCCAGGGCAGAGGCTTTTGTCAGCACTAGTCTTCTGGAAGTGCCTTTCCTTTTGGTGTCAACTTGTGCAAGTAGACTGTCAGGTGCTCTGTGATGAGTGAAATGGTTTCCAGTCCCATGTCCCAGGGCATGGGGTGAGCCTTCCTCAGAGAAAGAAGGGAATGGAGCCTATACGTCTTCTACATGACAGATTAGTTCATAGTACTCTTTCTTCCCAGGGTGAAAAAGAGGAGGGAGATACAAGACTGAAAGGCGAAAGGCTGTTGAAAGGAAATATGTGCCTGTAACATGATAGATGGCACATTCAGATTACTTGGTGACTGCTGTACAATTTATAACAGTAAAAGACAAAACAGGACATACTTAGGCGTCAGGTATTTGTGATGGCTTGGGAGACAATCCTCAGGTTTGCTACCGTTGGTCAGAATCAAAGGTCAATTGCATGAAAGTGCTTCCAAAAAGCAAGAAGGTGTGAAAATCAAACATGGAGGAATTTATGAATCATAGAATCATAGAACAGTTTGGGTTGGAAGGGACCTTTAAATGTCATCTAGTCCAACCCCCTGCTGTGGGCAGGGACATCTTCAACTAGATCAGGTTGCTCAGAGCCCCCTCCAACCTGACCTTGAATGTTTCCAGGG